AAATAAAACGGAATTAAGGCAAGTTCTTTCTTTGCGGCCCGGTACCAAATGCCCTGCGGACCGGTACCGGTCCGCGGACCGGCGGTTGGGGACCCCTGGTGTAAAGAGATTGAGACTAGTCAGAGATGCAAATTGTGAGTGCTGTTAGTCATTGTGAATGTAGGACTTGTTGGAGAAGTCCTGTCAAGCTCATTGGCTTTTTCATCTTCCATTCATGTGACGTGAAAGTAACAGCCGCTTTAGAAACAAGTTAGTTGCATAAACGGCCCGTCACAGAGATGAGATGCCACTTGAAGGACGGAGTATGCCACATGACTTCTTCCTGTGATGAGCCAGGGATTCGAACCCGCGCACTCATGGCTTTACACCTGCCATGTTAACCTTTAACCCGCTGCAGCGGGAGCCCACAGCAAGTGTCACCACTGTGACCATGGCAACACCTGTGCCTCCTTGTGTCATCCCTAAGTGCTGCTTGAGACAGGCGTGTGCACACACACACGCACACACACACACACACACACACACACACACACACACACACACACACACACACACACACACCCCACCGTGTTGAGTGTTGTTAGTAATGTAAAAGTGTTACTTGCGCAGGAACACAGGTACACACTGCCACCGTGGACATTGTCAGAGCTACATTTGTCCACCTTGGGGCAAATTCCAAATACTTGTGTATTTTACTCACTCTGATGATGCAGATCAAATCGGGATATCAGAAAACACACACACACACACACACACACACACACACACACACACACACACACACACACATGCGCGCGCGCAAGCGCGCGCGCGCACTTGCATTTGTATGCAAAGCCACATCAACGCATCGCCATCAAACATGGGAATGAGGCCAATTAAAAAGACTGATGTAGCGCAGCAAATTCAATTATAGCACTTTTGCGTCATTCGAGACCAGTAAATCAAAGGAAGGAAGGAGGAAAGGAAGGAAAGAAGGACAGAAGGAAGGAAGGAGCAAAGGAAGGAAGGAAGTTAAGAAGCAAGGAAGGGAGCAAGAAAGGAAGGAAGGAAAGAAGGAAGGATGGAGGGAAAGTAGGAGAGATGTCAATTTTTGCAAATTCAATTTTATTCCTTTCGAGACCATCCATCCATCCATCCAGGAGGCAAGGAGAGAAGGAAGGAAACGAGGGAAGAAAGAAAGGAAGGAAGGAAGGATGGAGGCGAAGAAGGACAGACGGAAGGAAGGAGGAAAAGAAGGAAGGAAACTCAGAAGCAAGGAAGGAAGCAGGAAAGGAAGGGAGGAAGCAAAGAAGGAAGGCTGGAGGGAAAGAAGGACAGACGAATCGCAGCAAATTCAGTTACATCCCTTTAGCGTCATTCGAGACCAGTAAATCAAAGGAAGGAAAGAGGAAAGGAGGGAAAGAAGCTAAGAAGCAAGAAAGTAAGGAAGAAAAGTAGTAAGGAAGGAATGAAGGAAGGAAGGAAGAGGGGGAAGAAGGAGGGAAGGAAGGAGGGAAGAAAGCAAGAAAGCAAAGAAGGGTGAATCAAGAGGTACAAAGACAGTCGCTGATTGTATGGCAGCCTCGACACTTCCCCAATATCTGCGTGTCATTTGCTTTGTGGGCTCAGAAAGGAACAAGAAGGAGGCAGAGGAATGAAAGAGTGATGAAGGCGGCGAGAGGGGGAGGCAAAGTGAAGGTGAGGGGAGGAAGGGACGCGGAGAGTGATGCAATAGGGACGAAGGCGACAAAGAGCAGATGGCAACGATGAAGGAGGGGAGAGGACGGGAAGCGTGAGGAACGAAGTTCGGGGAAAGGCCGATCTTCAGACTCGAAAGTGCGACGAAGCTGCCAAGGACAAATGAATGACAACATTTGTCAGAGAAATGAGACAAAGGCCAGCAAGGAAGGAATCAGGGTTGAGGGTGGGGGGGGGGGGCACCAGGGGGGGGGGATTAGAGCTTCTTGAGCAAAGAGGAAACTCCCCCAGGAGTGCCAGCGGCAGCGGGCTCGCGATCTCCTCGGTTGCGCTGGAGGCCTCGTCTCCCCAAATGCCTTTCGGTTCTAAATTTAGAGCGTTACACAACAAAAGGTTTGCATCATCTGCCAGCATCTCTTTTTTTTTTTTTCTTTCTTTTTTATTCGCTAGAATTCGCTCACCCATTTTAATCTCTGGGCCCAGCTTGTAAAGATGTTTGTTTGTAATTAAGCGGCAGCGTTAAATAAAGGTCAGGGGAAGAGGAGACGAAGTCTTTGGAGACGCTTCAATGTCATTTTTATTTATTCACTTGTTTGGGTGGAATTTGTCATCTTGCGTGCGGGACAGAGGACAGACGGGACGCGACGGGGCCTCACTTCGAAAAGTGCTCTATTCCCCGGCGCCGTGTGTGATTCACCACACCGACGTTCTCCCTTTGCCTCTTTACCGTCTTCATTCCATTAGAAGTCAACGGAGCGAAGAGCATTCCGCTGCTCTGTCGTCTCTCTAGCGCAAAGGACGCCAGATGACGATGAACACGGCAAACTTGAAGATAGAGAGTGTGGGGGGGGGGGGGGGCAGGGGGCGGGTATCACTCACACATACCTTTTTCCTCCCAGCCCGACATCCGATTGGACGACAGCGAGGGAGAGAAGAAGAGGCGGAGGGAAAGTTTGATGAAGTGCAAGAAAGATGGGAAGAGGGCCGCGGGTGATGGAGTCCAGGCAGATAATTGGCCCGAGCCAGCGACGCCGCGAAGATGGAGGGGGGAGGGGCGAGGGGGGGGGCAGACGGTGCGCAAAGAGATCAAAGAATGTGTCATCAGAAATCTAGTGCACATCTGAGATGACATTGCACAAAAAAAAAACAACAAAAAAAAAAAACTCCACCACTCACCGTCCTCATTCCGCAGACACACGAGAAATGGGAATGATCAGCATTGCTGCGGCATTTATGAGCCGCGGTTTCCAAACGTCTCCGGCCACGTCGGACACGTCACCGAGCCAGACATTCCTGGAGAAGGCGGGAGCCGCGCAGTGAGAACGCCGGAGAGTTTATCTGCATTGCCGTACGTCGCATTGTAAAGCCGTCAGCATAAATAGTCCCGCGGCGGGCGGATTTTCCGTGAATCTGCATTCTGCGCCGTCCGTCCGTCACCGTTCATTGAGAGCGCGTGCCGGAATTTCGCAAGCCGGCGGACGTGCGCAGATCTTAATCTCCTTCGCTTTGCCGCAGAGCGCGCCGCGTTTTCAACATCCGGTCGGCCGATCGGAAAAGATGTACGACCTGTTGTCGAAATATGAGCATGTCAACAGAGTGACGATCGGTCCGGGAGATGAGAATAAACACCGGCAGAGTACGAAATTTGTTGGCGCGTTTGGGAACCTCACTCCATTCACTGAAAAGTCTCTTCCAATTTACTTCTTGGCACACATCTGTCTGGTCTTTGGACTTCCCCCCGCTTTCGTTTTACCGGGTGCACGAGGATGACACATTTACGCCGGGCATTAAGGAAGCAGGGAAGGAAGGAAAGAAGGACAGAAGGAAGGAAGGAAGGAGGAAAGAAAGGAAGGAAGGAAGCTAAGAAGCAAGGAAGGAAGCAAAAAAGAAAGGAAGAAAAGGAGGGAAGGAAGGGAGGAAGGAAAGAAGGATGGAGGGAAAGAAGGACAGAAAGAAGGAAGAAAGGAAGGAAGGAAGCTAAGAAGCAAGGAAGGAAGCAAGAAAGGAAGGAAGAAAAGGAGGGATGGAAGGAAGGAAAGAAGGAAGGATGGAGGGAAAGGACAGAAAGAAGGAAGGAGGAAAGGACGGAATGAAGCTAAGAATCAAGGAAGGAAGCAAGAAAGGAAGGAAGGAAGCTAAGAAGCAAGGAAGGAAGGAAAAAAGGAGGGAAGGAAGGAAAGAAGGACAGATGTAACGCATCAAATTCAATTTTATTCCTTTTTGCGTCATTCGAGACCATCGATTTTCCGATCCACCTTCTCCTCACAAGGGTCGCGTGGGGTGCTGGAGCCTCTCCCAGCCGTCTTCGGGCAGTAGGCGGGGGACACCCTGAACCGGTTGCCAGCCAATCGCGGGGCACAGATTGACGAACAACCATCCGTGCTCACACTCACATCTACGGATAATTTAGAGTGTTCAATCAGCCTGCCATGCATGTTTTCACGCCGGGCATTAGCGTCGCCGAGTGAGCCCGGTGTTGGTGTGAAGTGCACGAGAGGTCGCTAATCCGCTGTCCCGTCTCCTCGCCAGAGTGACCAAATGAATCCCATGACTCAGCTCTACTACAAGAAGGTGAGGGCGACCGCACGCGAACCTCCAACGTCCCCCCCCAACCGGTTCCGTCCGCTCAAGTTGTTTCCTTTCTCTCAAGGCGACGTACTCGCCCTACCGCGACCGCATCCCGCTGCAGATCGTGCGGGCCGAGGTGGAGCTGTCGGCGGAGGAGCGCGCCTACCTCACGGCGGTGGAGAAGGGCGACTACGCGGGCGTCAAACATGCGCTCCGCGAGGCGGAGGTCTACTACAACATGGACGTCAACTGCCTGGACCCGCTGGGCCGCAGCGCGCTGCTCATCGCCATCGAGAATGAGAACCTGGAGATCATGGAGCTGCTTCTCGACCACGGCATTCACACCGGCGACGCCCTGCTCTACGCCATCAGGAAGGAGGTGGTGGGCGCCGTGGAGCTGCTGCTGTCGCACCGCCGGCCGAGCGGCGAGAAACAGGTGCTTACGTCGGCTTACTCGACACATCTCGAACGCGAGCCGACGTCTTCCGAGCCAAGCGCTCGGCAGCCACGGGAGCAAAAAGGATGGTCGGGCGTAGGCAAATGGTGGTAGAGTTTTGATACGGCAGGGAAAGACAGATAAGATGTCAGCAGATGAGATACAGGCGGAATGAGAGAAGAGGAACAAGAAATGAGGAGAACGAGAGACGCGCACAGGAGGGAAGGCACTCGCGCTCTCCTTTGATGTGAGACGCGTGCGCGTGTTTGTGTGCATGCAAATGTGCATCTATTTTTGCTGGAAATGTGATGAGCAAAAGAAAAAAAAAACTTTCTGGACTTGACTGTCAAGGGAGCGATGGTGTGTGTGCAAGCATGTGCGTGTTTGGGTGCCCACCGGGGGCAGCTGTTCTCACAGTCCTTCTCACATCGAGAGAAAAGTGCGAGTTGAGATCAGGAAAGAGAGAAGGTGGTGGGGGGGGGGGCGATGGGAAGCGGAGGGTTAGACGAGGATGAGCGGCGGAGGCTGGAAGCGTCGAATACGGGGATGAGAAGAGGGTGTGAAGAGGACGACGCAGGATGCAGACACGGGGAGAAAGTGGGGCAGGAGGAAGGAGGAGGAGGAGGAGGAAACGGAGCGAGTGGCGGTAAAGATGAAAAGTAGCGAGCGGAGGCTTGGCCCTCCCTCCGAGAGATGAAAGAGTCCGCGCGCGTCCTCCCCGCATCGTCGTCACGCGTGCTCGCCGCCGCACCATTTTGCAACTTTCTGTGATTCAGACGGTATGCTCTCGTCTCGTCAACCCGCGGCTCTGGATTCGCATGCGGCTCTTTAGCGCCGCCCTAGTGGCTCCCTGGAGCTTTTTCAAAAATGTTTGAAAATGGAAAAGTGATGGCGGAAGAAAATATAGATATATTTTTTAATATGGTTTGTGTAGGAGGACAAACATGACACAAACATTCTTAACGTTTTCCAACACTGTAAAAATGTGTATAATAAATATTACATTTCAACATTTCTGTCCACGAAGATTTGCGTCATAGCTGCGTCACACGTTTCTATGAGGGATGCTAGGCAGGTGGCTGTTGGAAGAAAAAAAAAACGGCTTTCATGTCCAATTCACTGAGGGTACTGGTGAAGAAGAGGAATCTGGAGGGCCTAGAGAAGCATTTTTAAACGGCACACGTGAGCTACGAAAGATAACACGCTACAAAAGTGCGTCCCGTGCCTCGTTCATCTCAGCGGCCGTTATGGCTGTCGCTCATTATGGTATGCGTGTGTAAGTGTGTGCGTGTGCGGTAACGTATTGATCGCGGGAGGTTGATTGATCGAAAAGATCATAAAAGGTTGGAGACTGCTGCTCTACAGATGCACTGCAGGCAAAAAAAGAAACTTTTAATCACGAAGGCTCATTGTGTATTTGTAGCCAACTTAGTCATTTTGAAAGTAGGCTAACATGGCTAATATAGATTCATACAGCAAGTGTTGCCTTCGTTATAAGGACTAAAAAAGGCTTTTGTTTTCTTGCGGCTCCAGACATATTTGTTTTTCGTTTTTTTTTTTTGGTCCAGTATGGCTCTTTTGGGTTGCTGACTCCTGCACTAACCCTCTGCAGGTGCCCTCGCTGATGATGGACAGCCAATTTTCAGAGTTCACCCCCGATATCACGCCCATCATGCTGGCTGCTCACACCAACAACTACGAGATCATCAAGCTGCTGGTGCAGAGGAAGGTAACGGCGGCGCGAACGCCCTCGGCAAAGCGGGTGGCCGCCTTTGACCGACAGGGCGTCGTTTCCTCTTGAACTCTCGTAGGTCACCATTCCCAGACCGCATCAGATCCGTTGCGACTGTGTGGAGTGTGTCTCCAGTTCAGAGGTGGGTGGACGCCGCAAGCGGCGGATTGTTGATCCCAATTTAAAGACCGAAAGCCGTGCCCGTCAAGGTCCCCTTCTTGTCCGCAGGTGGACAGCCTCCGGCACTCGCGCTCTCGACTCAACATCTACAAGGCTTTGGCCTCGCCCTCACTCATCGCGCTGTCCAGCGAGGATCCGATTCTGACCGCCTTCAGACTTGGCTGGGAACTCAAAGAGCTCAGCAAGGTCAGCTTTGTTTTATCGTCTGTAGGGGAGATCCCCTCAACGGGATCAGAGAATTGTTTCTCAGAAAACACCAGGTCTGGGAATGTGACGCGAGCACAAAAGTGAACTCGTGCAAAACGGGTTCAAAAGTAACAGATGAAACCTTTCTGCAGTGTGCTATGATTACATAAAGATTGATCACTCCGCCCTTTGTTGACAGGAGTTTGTTGAATGTCACGGTGGACTCTGTTGCTACATGTTGGTCTGGTTGTTACATGGACACCAAACACTGAGCGCTCAAGTATCAAATTATTGAGATATTATTTTTCCACCAGAACAGCTTGACTATCCAAGATTGAAAAACTGGTACAAATGACCAATTATATGGAGAAAATGACCAAAATAGCGAACAGACAGAAACAATGGCCGTCATGTGCAGTCGTTACATTTGTGGATATTCATGGATTTGATTGTACGGTTGTTACCAGTTCAACTGGACACCACACTCGAGACGTAAAAGTCACAAAAGGGGTTTTTTGAACATGTCATACTTTGAAGTGAAATCACTGAACTTATGAAACAACTTTCTTATACGAACGGAAGCGTACGTTTAAAGCACCGTTGTAAATCGTTGGAGGTACCTTGTGGACTCAAAATGTAACAAACGTAATGGAAATGTTTTTGAAGGGGGAAAAAATATGTTGGCTCTCAAAGTGGGTTACTATCGGCACTCCGAGGCCGACCGTGTTTTCTGAGAAGCCCTCAAAGGACGTCAAGAGCACTGATGACTCTGACCACTGCCAGAGCACTTTAGTGTTCCGTGAGGAATCATCGGCGACGTTGGGGCAAATTAACCAGTTTCACTCAAGTGGTCAGAAAATTATTTCTTTCCTACAAATCTCTCTGCCGGCGACATATTGTGACAGTCAGAACAATTCAATTCTCTTCCATTCAATGGCGGGCGCAATGAACCCATCGCCAGCTGTTGCCATTCATAACACAAGACGGGCCCAGATTGAATCCAAAGTACATGTGGAGAACACAGAATTTGCCGGCAACAGTCCCAATCGCTTCCTCTCCGCAGGTGGAGAACGAATTCCGCCAGGAGTACGAGGAGTTGTCGCAGCAGTGCAAACGTTTCGCCAAAGATCTTCTGGACCAGGCCAGGAGTTCCAGAGAGCTGGAGACCATCCTGAACCACCGTGACAACGATCAGAGCGAGGAGCTCGACCCCCGACAGTGCCATGACTTGGCCAAGCTCAAACTGGCCATCAAATACCACCAAAAAGAGGTACGCCCAATAAATCATGATTGACGGGCCACGGAAGTCACGTTGGCTCGCTTTATCCCACCGCCCACCTGCCCATCTCTCACGGCAACGTGGTTTGGAATCACCGATCTAGCGGGACACTCGAGCGGAACGGGCACAAGCCGTAAAACCTCAGAGACAAGAACGTCCTTTTTCTGCGAGTGTAGCGAGAAGAAAGGAAAAGAGAGTCGGGATGCTGAGGAAGCGAGTAAGATAACAAGCTGCAGCCAGTGTGCGTCCATACAAAGAAAAAGAGGTTTAATGGGACAGAAAGAGGAAGCGAAAAACGGAGAGCTCGGGGGGGGGGAATCAAGCGAGCGAGAGTGAAGATTTAACGGCGTGAAGAGAAAGGCGCCCAAGGCGTGTCTTCGTCTGTCAGCCTGTTTCTCGCCGCCGCCGCCGCCTGCAGCTTCCTTCGGCAGACGGGTACTGCCAGACAGATGAAAGCAGAAAGACATGATGGCAGCAGAGGGATGCGGCTGGTGGGCGACGCTCGAGCAGGCAGTGTCGAGAGCACGCTGACGCTCTCAAGTGACGGCAAAGGAAGTCGGTCATTAGTTGAAAAATAAACATTTGTACGGCGCAGACGAGAGGGCTCCGCTCGGGCTGATTTGCCACCTGAGAAATCAGCGTGAGCGAACGTCGTCTCAGATAAATGAGGTGACGATGGCGCCGTCGCGGGAGCGGGGCAAGAGCGAACCGAAAAAGATTTCATCAGCGCGGCGTGTCGCCGGAGCGTTTGCCGCGAGGGGGCGGAGGTTGAGACGGAGGCAGACGCGCGGCGGGGGAGGATGCGGGGCGGGACGTCTCGTGCCGTCGCCATGACAACGGCAGATGTTGGTAAACAAGCGCCTCGTTAGCACCGCTTGTACTTGGTTATACCCTGTCGCGAAGGGCTAATCTGAGCTTTGTGCGCATGCCGGCTCGTCAAGATGGAATATTATATCACCGCCTCGTCACCGAACCCCCCTGCCGGCTGCACGTGTCACTTTCATCCTCTTACCTGCCGCCGTCCGCTTTTGTTTGACCGCCTCTCTGTTTGGGGATCCGTTATTTATTTCGATGTGAGCGTGCGACAGAGGTCGCGCTAAGTGCTGCCACCTTGCAACGCTGTGATTGTGCGCGCAGGCTATGCTAGCGCGTTTCTTTTGTGTTTGCCGTTGGATACGTTCTCTGAAACCATGCGGGGGACGTTTGAAATCGGCTTTTCATGCAGGTGGACCGCACGCGTCATTCTGTACATGTGCTCGCGAGTCGTAGCGGCCAACAAGATGGCTGCCAAAGGCATTTTGCATGTATTTTATTGCACTTTGAATGAAACATTCGGCATTAAAAAGAAAAAGATGGGTCCCCGTTCTGTGGCAGCTGAGTTTTAGCTCGCCGTTTCACAGTCTGCAGCACAACATTCCAGCCTCCCATTTTTTTTTTCCCTGAAATGTTTATTGCGCTCCTTTTGCCCGCGGGTCCGGCCTATTGATGTCCACTTTGCAGCAGATGTCCAAGTGCCTCGCAATCAAACAACTCATGTACAAAGACGTTTTTATTATTCCGACATAAATACATAATGCTTTTGAGTATCCAATGCGACAGTCCGACAAATCCAAATCCAATTCAGTCAAAATGCCGATTGTGGGTGCAAGTGTATCGCGCTTTATCTTGATTCTATTTTTTACAAAGCCACATTGACTTAGCTCGTTCAAACGTATCAGAGTGCCTTCGTCACATCCCGGCTGGATGACTGGAATGCACTTTACTTTGGAGTCAGCCAATCCTCCATGAAGCGTCTCCAGTTGGTCCAGAATGCTGCTGCTCGCCTCTTGACTGCTACTCGTAAGAGGGAGCACATAACTCCAATTGTACTCTGGCATCCCTTCACTGGCTCCCGATACATTTTTGTGTTATTTTTAAGATCCTATTATCTGTTTTCAAATCTTGAAATGGCCTGGCTCCACCTTACCTCTCTGAGCTCCTCCGCCTCTCCGCACCAGAGGCTCAGTGGGGATTGAGTCTTTTCCGTTGCTGGTCCCTCTCTTTGGAATGAGCGTTTCGGCAAGCCCCCTCGCTGCCCATCTTTAAAACTCGTCTCATTTCTATTCTTGGGCTTTTGACTCAGCATGATTCAGACTTGATTTTTAGTTTGACTGTTTTTGTGCTTTCTACTGTCTTTGTGATTAATTATTATTTATTGTTACGTATCCGATATTTGCTCCATGTACAGTACTTTGTATACAGCGGTCGTTGTTTTAAAGTACTCTATAAATACAGACGAGTTGAGTTGAGACACACCGGCACGTTGACGAAGCATATCAACACATGGACAGGTGAACCTTTTTACTTTAAAATAACCTCCATAAAATCCACCCGTACTCCTGGCAAATGCAGTACCAAGGATGTTATATGTATTTTTCTCTTTGGTTCCATTTTAAATCCATCTTCGTTCGCTACTTGCTCGCATCCTAGCTAGCACCAAACAACTGTAGTTCATTTCTCAGGTCCAGCGCGCAAGTTTGAAAACTCCCTTTTGCTTGCTGCCAGCACGGTGTTAGGCGGCCAACAGCGGAGGCGTTCACTGGCCATATATTCCCGCTGCAAGCACAGCGTAATCTGGCCAAATATTCTTGTTGCCAGGACAGCCATTAGTTGGCCAAATATTCCCATCACTACCTCCCGGGCGTCAGCTCGAATGTAGCCCGTACGTAGCTTTCATGCAAGTGGAGAAGGCATCGGGAGACGGGATGTGCTGTGATGTGTCCGTTTGTGTTCAAACACTTCACAGCACCTTTTAGCTCATTTGGACAAATGTTTGCTCTATGCCGTGTTGCGCAGAGCATCGTCAGGCAGCGCAAATGCTCGTCCCCCCCCGCCCCCCCTTTCATAAATCAAATGCGCTTGGTTACAAAAGCCATAAAATAGTCCGACGCTGCCGTTCTCCTTCTTCTCTTGGCACGTGACTTCTTTATCCGTTTTTTTTTTGGGAGGAACTTGTGTTTCTGATAGAGTGCCGCGCAGCCGTTGAAAATGACACGGGTCAAATAATGAGATCCTTTGCGTTGGGCCTCCGCATATCAAAGGCGCAGCAAGTGGTCAACAACTTTCGGCAAGTGACGGTGGGACAAACACTGACATACTGCCTCGCGCTCACTCCGTGCACAATGTGGACTCTGCATTATTCATGCTCCGGTTGTACGGGCCGTCCGTGCCTTTAACCTTCAATAATTAAGATGCTCGTGTGGATGAACGCGGCAGCGTGATAAACATCACGCACGCACACACATAAGTGAAAGTAAAAACCATGCTGCACTATGCCACCACTACAACCTTGTCTTTTCAAATAGAAAGGTTTTGGTTTCCCCCCTTGTGGCCCCACCCGAGCGCTGCCTTTAACCTCCATTTAACCTACCTTCAAACTTTCATATGTGTGTGTGTGTCTCTAAATCATTCAATAGAATTCATTTTGGTCTTTAAGCCTTTGATCGGCACCTGCTTAAATATTAACGCGCTGCGAGCGTGTGCCTGTGTCGACACAACTGTCTGTGCGGTGTAAGCGCTCGCGTGCTCACGTTCAAGTCATCAAACAGCATCTTGAAGGGAAGTCTGAGCGCGTACGATGCAGTCTTTACATCCAGCACTCGCGCCGTAACGACGCCTAACGAATGATCAGCGGCGCAAAATGCTCCGTTCACATTTGCATAGAAGTCGCCAGCTTGAGTCGATGTTAGCATAGCCTTGGCTTTGCACATTGCAAGATTACATCCGGCCCAATTGTTTTAAGCAGCGCCATGTAGCGTAGCCTCAGTTAGCATATTGCTCGCTGGAGAGGACAAATGGCTCGGCAATCAAATTAGCTGCAAAGTAATTCTGGCTCCTCCAACGGTCGGCTCGCGCCGTTATTTAATCGGGGCCCAACAACCGTTTTCGTTAACAGATTTAAACGACAGATTTGATTTATTTATTTTTTTTGTTCATCTTGAAATTATTTATTCGAAAGTTACTTCTTCTATTTACCTTCTTAAATAATTTGGCCACGACAGATGCGGACAGACAATATCGCCCTACTCACAAGCACGTGACTCATTAAGATGCGATACGTTTCTCACCGAGGATAAAGAAGATATGCCCGTGAGTATTCTTACATTGTCCGCGTCTTCCTGTGTTGTTGCATGGTTTGTGTTCAAACAGCCGTCGCAAGTAGTTTTCTGTCTTCCGACAAAATGCAAGAGATGTTTTATTGTTATGAGTTTGGAGGTGAAACAACTCCGTTCAACGGAAAGGCTGCTGGAAATCAAAAGCTGTGAAATAAATGTCTGCGTTCCCACCGCAGAGGCTGCGTGGCCTTTCTTCGTCGTGCAGAATCAATCTTGCGTTTTCTTGTAATCAGCTAACTGGGCGAACATGCCGGCTCAGCGAGTAACGGTGAAATGTCAAATTACGAGTTTGTCCGAGCGCCGCTCAGCGGGTTAACACCAGTCATCGGAACTCTCCATTAAGAGTTGACGAAAAGGGAGTTTGGGCCCTCAGCGGAGAAGGAGGCTTTCCGCTCAGCTCGTTTCCTCGCCCGAGACGGCTCCCCGGAGTCGCGGCATGACGGCCGGGTGCTTTTATTAATTACATTTATTCAAAGAAAGACAAATTAATCCACTCGGCTTTGTCTCTGTCGTCAGCGAACTGGCTGCCGGGAATGTTCACAGCGAGAGGCGTTTCATGCGCCTGGGCTGGCAATGCGCTCATTCTCTGAATCATCCCCCGTGTGCGCTCGGGAGTTGTATTTATTCATTCATTTATTTATTTATTTTAATGTCACCGGAAAGTTGGCTGCCAGCAGCTCGGATTTCATGTTTGCTTTGTCTACGCGCCGAAGCCAATTCACGGGTCATTTGCATGGCCTCGATATCTGAGAGCAGGCCCGGACGCAACTTTGTTTCCAACTCGGACTTCGCCGAACACCGAGCGAGGTGGGAAAAACCAGAGAAAAGAGCACGAGGCGAGAGACCGACACCCTCATTAGCATACAGTCGCCATAGCAACAGGAAACCAAACCGGAGCAGAAACCGACGGGGCCTAGTCAACGCGACTTGAGACACAACGGCAAGGAAAGCTACGGAAGCACGAGTGCCGTCAAGTGCCGCGTGGACAAAAATGGAGCCGTGCCTTTCCTACACATGCAAAATCAAACGACGACGTAAAAATAATCATTTCCAAAAAAAGCTTAGTTCCGAAAACCGCTAAGTGCCAGACGTATTTTGTGCGGTTATCATCATCCCGTTGAAAGAGAGTGTAAAATAGCTGCGTGAAACTCCGGGAGAGATTCTTATCATTAGTCTGGGAAGATTTTAGGGATCGTGTCCCGACGTTCCGCCATGAAGTCTTCGTTGATGTTGTCGCAGTCAAACCGGCCGACATTCATTCATTCATTCATTTTCCGATCCACTTTTATCCTCACGAGGGGTGCTGGAGACTCTCCCAGCTGTCTTCGGGCAGTAGGCGGGGAAAACCCTGAACCGGTTGCCAACCAATCGCAGGGCACACAGAGAAGAACAACCATCCGCACTCACACCGGGGGACAATTTGGAGTGTTCAATCAGCCTGCCATGCATGTTTTTGGAATGTGGGAGGAAACCGGAATACCCGGAGAAAACCCACGCAGGCCCGGGGAGAACATGCAAACTCCACACAGGGATTGAACCCGGTATCTCTCCACTGTGAGGTCAACGCGCTAACCACTGGACCACCAGGCCGCCCTACCAGTCGACATTTTTACACTCATTCCTTCATTATCTGTCCAGTTGAATCAACAAACAGGACGCCACACCACCCCCCCCTGTTCCTTTACAGTTTTCAGTAGTGCGAGCGAGGTTGTTCGACTCTAGATTGAAGCATACATGGGCACACACATACTCCTTCACCACACGCGGATTGCTCCGTTGGGGAAATACAAATATGGGCGTGGTTTACCAGCCCCTGAAATGAGGCTCTTTCGCGGGTTTCAGAGGTCAGGAAACGAAAAAAAATCATCGGTTCCATTATTTATGAGTAGACAATATGGGACCATATTTATTTGGACTGCATTGAGAATGAATTGTTTTTAATGACTTGCGTACTCACGTAAAAGTAATAAACTGTTTGCTATTTTTATTTGTCACAAATCTCGAGTCAGTGATTTGTTCCATTTTGATATTCAAGTGGTTTGACCTCAGCATCTGAGCATCATATAACATTTGAGCTCAGATTTTGGACACATGTGGGACTGGTTAGAGATGTCCGCTTGATGAAGACGAGGGGGGCCAATCATGAAATGATCCCAGTTGCTGTCTGAAAATGTGCTCCGAGCATGAACAGAAGCACTGACTTGCGTCCCGGCGTGTGTCCCCGCAGTTTGTGGCGCAGCCCAACTGCCAGCAACTGTTGGCGACGCTGTGGTACGACGGCTTCCCGGGCTGGAGGCGGCGTCACTGGGTGGTCAAGCTGGTCACCTGCTTCATCATCGGGCTCCTGTTCCCCGTCTTCTCATTGGTAGGCCGGAGCATAATTATCCCCGGGGGGTGCGAGCGCCGCGCCAAATCATTTTTCTCCACGGCACAGATCTACCTGTTGGCACCCAAAGGCGCGCTGGGACGCTTCATCAAGAAGCCCTTCATCAAATTCATCTGTCACACGGCGTCCTACCTGACCTTCCTCTTCCTGCTCCTGCTGGCCTCGCAGCACATCGCCCGCACCAACCTGCACATGCAGGGGCCGCCGCCCACCATCGTGGAGTGGATGATTCTGCCGTGGGTGCTGGGTACGCGTGCGCTTCCAAAGCTTTGTTTGCTTGCGATGACCCGGCAGAGAAAACCACGGACCGCATCTCTCGCATTAAAAAAACGCTCTTTGTGCATTTGCCGGAGGACGGCTGCAATGGTTCCACTGTGGGAACAGAGCGGGAAGTCAACAAGCAGACTTTTCATGGATGACTTCCAAGCTGTCACGAGTTAGCGCAGTGGTCTTCAATCCTGTTCCTGGAGGACCACCGCCCTGCCCGTTTTCCATCTCCCGCCGCTTAAAGTGAGCGGCCTCGTTAGCCAGCTTCTGCGCACCTTGCTGATCACCTGATCATTTGATTCAGGTGCGTTGCAGCCCGGAGAGGCGGAAAACAGGGAGGACGGCGGCCCTCGAGGAACAGGATTAGCGCCTGATCCATACGGGCCCTGCGCTTGGCTGGAGAGCAGCCCGTGCTGTAGCCGGCTCAAACATGACATACGGGTCAGAAAATGGATGGATGTCAGAAATTTACCAGTTGTGTGTGTGTGTGTGTGTGTGTGTGTGTGTGTGTGTGTGTGTGTGTGTGTGTGTGTGTGTGTGTGTGTGTGTGTGTCGTAGGATTCATCTGGGCAGAGATAAAGGAGATGTGGGATGGGGGGTTCACAGAGTACATCCACGACTGGTGGAACCTAATGGACTTCGCCATGAACTCCCTCTACCTGGCCACCATATCACTAAAGATCGTGGCCTACGTTAAGGTAACGCTCTTTGTGTGTGTGTGTGTATGTGTGTGTGTATGCGTGTGTGTGTGTGTGTGTGTGTGCGCGCGCGCCAGTTTCCACAGTCCCTCGGCGCTCAACGGCATCGTCAAACGACATGATTTGCTCTTGAGATGCTTTGTATTGATACATGCTTGTCTAAAAGCAAAATATGTGGTTTAAACGCACACACACACACACACGCACGCACACACACTCACTCACTCACTCACTCAATCACCAGACGCCGAGCCATCTGCAGCATCTGTGAGCCACTGATGGTGCCGGGCCATCCTCCCACACACACACACACACACACACACACACACACAGCCTTCAGACGTATATCACATGTCCATACACAAACGCACCTACACAGCTCTATCAAAGCAGCAGCAGTTGGTGCGTCCTATTGCACCTTTTGGCTCCCTTTGATGGTGATATGAAAGGACTTGGTCGAGTGAACTCAGATTTGTTTCTAAATTTGAAGAGAATGACTGAAAACCAAGGCTGCCATCAAGTTCACCATGATTGAGTGTCCACAAGAGTCCAGATGAGATGAAGCGTAAACATAGAGACAGAAAAAGACGATTTTCAGGAGCACAACACCCTTTTAGGGGGCAGGGAACCCTTTTGCTTTATTAACCGCGTGTGCAGATAAACCACAAAAAAATTTCGTTGGACGTCGGGTCATACTTGTCCAAAATTGTCTTCTCCCAGACTGCGCTGTTGGCTGACATGGCTGAAAGAAAAAGACGTGTTGTTTGACAAATGGCCATTTTGAGAATCGTAAAAACCTTGATTTCAAGTTTCTTTTGACGGAGAGCGTATATTTTCGGGAAGAAAAACATCCTGAGAACATACAAAGACCGGGAACGAAGTAGGCCTCACTTGTGGGGCTTAAGCGCAAAACTGTTTTTCTGTTTTCCTGATCAGCTCATTTTCGTGCGGCGCAATTTGCGACGTGCACTTGCGCTTGCCTGCTATGCCGACCCCCCGAAAATGCGTCTTCCCTTCAGCTAGGGCGCTGGCTTTAGAGCGCCTCGTCGTCCGCGTGAGTGAGTGGCGCATCACCCGGAGCAAGCTTTTCAAGTTGCTCGGCCTCTTCCGCTCCCCACCAGTACAACTCATCTCGACCCCGGGAGGAGTGGGAGATGTGGCACCCGACGCTCATCGCCGAGGCTCTCTTCGCCATCGCCAACATCTTCAGCTCGCTGCGACTCATCTCGCTCTTCACCGCCAACTCGCACCTCGGGCCCCTGCAGATCTCGCTGGGGAGGATGCTGTTGGACATCCTCAAGTTCCTCTTCATCTACTGCCTGGTAACCCAAGAGCTTTTTTTCCTCCTTGAAAAATAAACAGGCGACGCCATGTTCGGTCCCCTCGGACGGCGATGGGAGCGCGCTCGCCTCGCTTCGTCGGCCGAGAGGACATTACGGGCCTATTTCATTACAACCACAAGTCATTAACCCCGACGCTCCAGGGAGCTCCTACCCCACTCCGCCGTTCTCGTTCTGACCGCCGGGCACCGTCAAGTCCTAAAATCACTCCTCGGAAGGCGACAAATTGTCCGTCGCATCTTCAGACCGCAGTTGAGCGTGCAAAGAGACTGTCTGAAAAGCGTGGCCGTTTGCTTGCGCAGGTGCTGCTGGCCTTCGCCAACGGCCTGAACCAGCTCTACTTCTACTACGAGACCACGGCCTCGGAGGAGCCCAACAACTGCAAGGGCATCCGCTGCGAACGGCAGAACAACGCCTTCTCAACGTAAGCGGCGCCGCCCGCGTTCGCGTCTTCGCTCGACAAAACCCCGCTCGCGTTCGCTTTCCATCGTAGCTTTCCATCGGTGACTTCATCCGACACTGTCATCAAGTCAAGAACGCACTTGCAAATAGCTTTTTGGGTCTTCGCGTGCGGCTTTCGTGTCGCAGGCATTTGTCGGATCTCAGGCGGGCGGCGGTCATCTATTGTGCGGCTGCCGATATCTCAACGAGCACGCCGGTCGCCGCGGAGGCGGCAGACGGAGCGACGGAGGGCCTCCTGCCTCGCCCCCGGGGTTGCGTCAGCATTTATTTGTTTACAACGCATGCATTATTCGCTCCGCCTGCGAGCGTATCTGTGAGGGAGGTAGAAAGTAACGGCGGCCTCGATTTGGCGAAAACAACTCCCGTGATCCCTCGTCGCTTTTGTTTGATGCGCCGTTGCGAGAGAATTTTGCGCTTCCCGGCTGCGCTCAGGTGCGCCGCTGCCCCCGCGTCTCATCTGTCCATCACGGCGCCCTGTGCTCGCACGAATGCGTCGGAGTGTTTGACGCCGCGATGCGACGCGTCTGCGCGAGTGGCGCGCGAGGAGGCGTGAAAACAACTGGCACCGGAACACCTCCGCCGTGACTGACAGATGACGATGCCGCCTGCCGGCGCCCACGGCCCGCCAGAAACGCGCTCGCATTTCGCACACCGATGAGGTCAATAAAGTAAGAAGGGGCGGGGGCAAAATGAGCGATGCGATGGAGAGGGTCGCGAAATGGAGGAAACGCCGACTCTTGATCATCGTGTCGCTTCTTTCTCATTTTGCAATAACGACGCCGTGGCGTCACGCTCTGTCGCTTCTTTCATGGCCAGTCAACCCCCCCCCCCCCCCCCCCCCCCCCCCCCCCCCCCCCCCCCCCCCCCCCCCCCCCCCCCCCCCCCCCCCCCCACCCCC